CTGGGAGTTCAAGACCATCCTGGGCAACATAGCAGGATCCCGTCTCAGAGAGAGCTGTTACCACACCAGAGGGCACCTGCAAATGCATCGCTGTCATAGTGAGAGCCTGGCAAGCCGGGCATGGTGCTGCACGCCTGTCATTCCAGCACCCTGGGAGGCTGAGGCAGGAGATCCCAGTTTGCAAGTTGCAGCGCAGCGTCAGGTTGTAGCTCAGTGCTGGCACGGGCAGGGGAGAGGGACGATCTGGGGCTCAGGGGCGCCCCCTACTGTCCCAGAGTCCGTGCCCTTCCGCAAGAGCCTGCTCTCCCCGATCTTCCTGTGGAGCCTGCTTACCATGGGCGTCACGCAGCTGCGCGTCATCTTCTACATGGCGGCCATGAACAAGATGCTGGAGTTTCTGGTGACCAGGGGCCAGGCAGAGACCGGCGAGCTGCAGCAGAGGGCGGCGGAGACAGGTGGGGAGGGGGCGCCACTGTCCGGGGAGGGGCGCGGCTGCGCTTGGGGCCACGGCAGCTGCAGCTCGGACCCCTCGCTCCACCCCCAGTCGGGTTCTACGCCTCGGTGTTCGGGGCCATGCAGCTGCTCTGCCTGCTCACCTGCCCCCTCATCGGCTACATCATGGACTGGCGCATCAAGGACTGCGTGGACGCCCCGGTCGGACGCGCTGCCCACGGACACGCGAGGTGACCCGGGCTGGACCGCGAGGGGTTTCCGTCCCAGGGCTTGCACACACGGCCCTCATTTCCCTGGACTCTGGTGGCCGTGCTCTGTCCCTATCTTACAGATGGGGAAACTGAGGCCAGGGGCATGGCTTGCTTAGGAATAAAGAGAGCTAGAGGGGAATTGTGGCACACACCTGCCATCCCAGCACTCAGGAGGCTGAGGCAGGAGGATCGCTGTGAGTCCGAGGCCGGCCCAGGCTACATAGTGAGGCCCTGTCTCAAAAAACGAAAGACAGAACAAATAAAAAAAGAAGAGCTGGTACTGGTGCTGGCTGGGCCCAGGCAGTCTCTGAGTGCTGCAGCAGGGTGCTGAGGTCCTCACTGCTCAGGTGACAGTCACACAGGGAAGGCCCTTGGCTGGGGTCACACACAGGCTCCAGAGCCAGGAGGCCCCCAGGCTGTGTCAGCTGCCCAGGGCTGAAGCAGCCGGGCGGGGCTCTGCCAGGCCCCAGCTGCAGCACAAAACAGCACCCGACTTCAGCCCTGGTGCCCAGCTGGGAACCTGGGAACATTTAGCCAGCACCCCTGCCTCAGTTTCCCTCCTCAGGCTGTGCCCAGCGGGGCCCAGGGCTGCGGGGACCCAGGGTGCTGCAGCGGAGCAGGCAGAGGCAGCGGGGGCTTCTGTTTTGTGGTCTTCGCACAGCCTGGTCACTTGTGCAGCCTGCTGTCGCCTGCAGAGGACAC